TATCTGAGGGAATATTAGGAGGGAGGAGAAATCAAACCCAACCAACAATTAAGAGACAAAGAGGAAGTGAAAAGTACTGCTTACATTGTGTTTACAGTCTGTTATGTATATATTGACACTGACTTTGTCATCTCTTCTTTTATTTTGAACTTTGCATATATTTACACTAGATCTTCAACTAGAAAAGGAACTTAAAATGGTGTTCCCATTTATAATGGTTGTAGGGAACTATGGTGATGTAATCTGTAGCAAGTTGTGTTGGCAGTGCATGGGCTAAGAGTTTTTAGCAGTTTGAATCCATAAGTGGCTCTGAGGAAGAAAAGGAAGATGGTCCGTGTCCTCTTCTTGTGATCTGTGGCTTTGGACGCCCAGTGGAGGGACCCTATGAATTGAAACACACTTGACAGCAGTGAGGTTTTTCAGATTGGAGGGAGAAAGTCAAACATTTCCTAGCAAAGTCTTAGAATGGTGAGTGACACTCAATTATTTAGCTCCTTTGTTATCCTGAACAGAAATACTTCACAATGATTTGTTGTTGTTGTATGTCATGGTATCTGAACTGACTAATAGCTGATCCTCTAGTCAGTTTTCATGGGTTGTAAATCCACAGGAGGAGATTGCCCATCTTTCGTCCTCAGAGAACCTGATGGGTTTAAACTTTGTGCCTTTGGGTTTATATCACAACTCCTTACTGCTTGGTTGTTATTGTTGTTAGGTGTCATTGAATTGAGTGAGACTCATAGCAACCCTAATGTGAATGACAGATCTGAATCCTGTCTTATCCTGTGCCATCCTCACACTTCCTGACACACTTGAGTCCATTGGTGCAGTCACTGTGTCTATCCATTCTGTCAAGTGTCCTCCTTTCTTTTGCTGACCCTCGACCTTTCCAAGGAATAGCCTCTCCTAGGAACATGCCTAAAGTGTATGAGACAAAGCTTTGTTATCTTTGCTTCCAAGGAGCACTCTAGTTGCACTTTCTCCAAGACATAGCTGTTTACTCTTTTGGAAGTCTCTGGGATGTTCAGTGTTCTTCTCCAACACCACGCTCGAAGGCCTCAGTTCTTCTTCTGTCATCCTTAGTCATTGTCCAGTTCTCAGATGCATAACAAGTGGTGGGAAAGATCATGGCCTACCATTAACCTACCACTGTGAGATTAATAAAAAGTGGGCCTTTGTTTTATTATATAGGAAACTCCTAGATGATTTGATTAGTTATAAAAAAAATAGAAATGCTAAGTCTATAAATGGCAATTTAAAATATTTTGTTTAAAAATCTGCAAAAATAACTCCATCTTTTCTTCTGCTGAAAAATATTAATTAGAGTCTTCTATTAAAGAGGACAATGAAGCAGTTTTTAAAAATTCCATTCTCCTCCCTTGAAACCCAACAAAAATCCACAAAGAGAATGAAAGAGAGGGAACACTATGTCTTCAATGAACAATGAAATGGCCACAATCCCAAACTATAAATTATGAAACACACCTGCCAAAGACTGTAAAGTCTGGACCAAAATGAGAGAGAAAGCTGTGAGCTGACAAATATTTCCTCAGGCGCCGAGCAGGGTACAGATTTCTCTAGGAGTAAGTGTGACAGCCCTGACAGGCCTACTCAACAGGCCTTTGATTACAGGCACTGAGAATGTCCCTGCAGAGGAGAAACCATGCCATGTAGCTTCTCACCAAGGAAGGCTGCCAGAGATGAAGTGATGTCAAGGAAAGGGAGTCAGCAACCGCAGGGTTAGTACACAGTGAGCCAGTTATTGAAAAGAGTCTTCTCTGAGTGACACCAATGGCTCACACACCAAAAACTGGAACATGATGTGGACAGAAGAAAGAAGGAAATAGATGGGAGAGTGTTGGTGGCAAAAGATGCAAACTGCCTTAACTCATTGCCCTCACACCCACGAAACTGTGTTTTTCACCAGTAGCCAACTGCACTCAAAACTCTAGCATAAAATCTATACATTGAAATCATTTTGTACCATTGAGTCAGAAATGACCCATAAGATAACCTTCCAGTGAGTTTTCAGAGATAGTAAATCACATGGGAAGAGGTTGCCCCTCTCTCTCCTGTGGAGCTGGGGGGTTCAAGCCACATACTTTTGGACTGGCGATGCAATTTGTTCCCACTAAGGCACCAGCACCTTCTACACTAAAACTAGGTGGAGAGGGAAGTTGGAGGTTGAGGGAAGGGGCCAGAGTGTGGAGAAAAAGAACATAAACAAGTCATGTGAACAACATACCAAAAGAAAAGGAATTACTCTTGAAAAAGTTCCAACAAAAAAAGTTTGAGTTTAAAGAATAAGGTAGAAGAAAGCGAGATGAAAAGGGAACTAGAATAGTAAAGGGTGGGGGGAAAGTTAAGAAAAATATTTACATCACAGACGTGAGAGTTAACATGACCAGTGAAACACAGACATGTTACATAGGCTGTGATAAGGCATACGGATGGTATAAAAGGGAGGAAAGGTGTGAAACTGGAGTTTTGTGAGCATGGTAGGTACAGAAGTCGTGAAAAGCAGATCAAACATTGAGTGTGACTGGTATTTATAGGAGGATCTAAACAAACAGGACAGAAAAAGAAAATACTCAGAGATAAAAGATAATTGGAGACAAAGATTAAAACTGTCAACAACTTCATCTTACCTGATCCACAATGAATACACTTGGTACCAGAAGTCAGAAGATCAGGAGATGTATTACTCTGGGAAATCTGCAGTCAGGGACTTCTCCAAGTTATTGAGGAGCAATGATGTTAGTTTAAGCACTAAGGTACACGTGATTCAGGCCATGATCTTTTCAGTCACTTGCCATGCATCTGAGAACTAAACAATAAATAAGGATAACAGAAAAAGAACTGATGTCTTTGAGCTGTGGTGTTGGAGAAGGGGGCTAGATATCCCATGGACTACTGGAAGAACAGACATATCTTGGAGAAAGTGTAGCCAGAGTGCTCCTTAGACGCAAAGATGATGCAACTTCACCTCACATACTTTGGGCATGCTCCTTGGACAGGGACATCAGACTTGGGAGAGTAGAGGGCTGGTGAAAGAGAGGAAGACCTTCAACCAGGTGGACTGACAGTAACTGCAGCAGTGGATCAAGTGTGTCAAAGAATGTGGGAATGGCACAGGATAGGACAGGGTTCAGATCTATTGTGCATGGGGTCACTATGAGTCATACTTGACACCTAACAACAGCAACAACAACATAAGGAGCCAATGGGACAGGAAATACATAAATCTAAGGGGAAAACAGCATGGCCCAATAATTTTGGTTTTGCCAGCATAGTATTTACTTACAAAACCCAAAAGAACAATTGCCACTGAGTCAATTCTGACACTTGGTGACCACATGTGTTACAGCATAGAACTGCTCTGTAGGATTTTCTTGCCTGGAATCTTTAGAGAAGCAGGTTTCCAGGTGTTTGTTTTGTGATGCCATTGGGAGATAACAAGTCACCAAGTTTTCATGAAAATCAGTGGGACTAAGTAAGATCAGACAACAAAAATAACTCGAAATTTATAATTGAGGAATGGATAGGCCTTGGGTTTGGGGGGGGAAGTATGATGAGTAATTAATTTATTTTAATTAGAGTTAAGACTAATCAACCTTAGAAATTACATGCCAAAATAGAATGTAAATACCATAAATCTTGACATTATCTGAATAATGCAGCATAAATTAATTGGAAGCTTGGGGAAGGGAGTTGGGAGGAAACGTGTTATTTACTCATCTTTCTTAACTGGGACTCAACAGATACTCTCATGTCCAAATATGTAATTAAAATTACAGTCTGAATGTCCTGGTGGTTTCTTTAGTAGTCATTCTTAATTTTAGAGGGCTCTGTGGGGAATTAATCACTTATGCTAAGGAAAAAAGATCAGAAGTTCAGCAACTACTTTATTTTCACTCTAGTTTCTTCCCAGGTTCTATTATAGTTAATAAAAGTGCATTAAATTTTTAAATTAAAATGTCTTGCATCTGCCAAACCCACTGCTGTTGAGTCAAGTATGATTCGTAGTGACCCTCGCTCCATTGAGTTGCAGAGACGACTATATTTAAATCTTTACAGGAAGATACAACCTATCCTTCTCCCTCAGAGCGGCTGGTAGATTTGAACCACTGACCTTAGTAGTCTGACACCTTACATACCACGCCACGAGGGCTCCTTCAATGTCTGTAATCACTGTCAAATATTAGTAATTTTACACATATAGTAGTAGAAGTAATTTTTTAACTTTCATTCTCATCCTTTCCTCTTTCCTAAAATTCTTAGTAACAGGTACTTTAGTTATTGTTATGTGCTGTCCAGTCTCCTGCAACACATAGCGACCCTATGTACATGAGTTCTGAACTCTGCCCAATCCAGACCCAATCTCTTCATCTCTGACAGACCTAATCCCATTTCTCTAGTCATTGAGTCAATCAGTCTCATCCAGGATCTTCCTCTCCTGCGCTGTCCCACCAGTCTTCCCTTCTCCAAGCATGATGTCCTTCTCCAAGGCAGCTGAAAATAAATTCGTTTCAACGGCAGTACCCAAAACAGAATTATCCAGCAATAATTCAGTTGCCAAGAAGAAAGAGAGACAGAGACAGAGACAAAAAGAGAGAGAAATGTCTTGGGGAGCTCTGGTGGCCTAGTGGCAAGGAGCTGCAACTACAATCCCAGAGACACACGGTTCAAATCCACCAGATGCTCTGCCGGGAAAGGGGGCACAATCTCCTCCTGTACCAGTCAGATCTGATTTGACGGTACACGCACACAAAAATAATAAAAAATAAATAAATAAATAAATAAAAATTTAAAAAAATAAAAAAAATAAAAGAGAGAAATGTCTGTATCATAAAAGATGCTCAAATCTAGGAAATGGCTCACTTATAGTCCTGTTTCGCCGTAAAATTCCTTCCTATTTCACCATTTGAGATCCTGCTGTTGTTGGCTGCAAATAATTGGATTCATGCTCCATTTGACTCTGTTGCAAATTCTCATCCCAGTGTTCTGTGACCTGCGGTGTTGGAATCCAACGAAGAAAGCAAGTGTGTCAAAGGCTGACAGCCAAAGGCCGGCGTGTCCCCCTCCATGAGGAGATGTGCAGGAACCTCCCGGGGCCCCCTCTCCTGAGATCGTGCCAGATGCCTGCGTGCACCAGTAAGTACGCCACGCTTGCAGCTCACCACGACATGCTGCTCTGGGCTCTCTCCTCCCAATTTCTCCATTTTCATTTCCATTTGTGAACTATGCATATTCTGTAAACCCCGTGGAAGTCAGAAACTGTACAAGCAGGAAACCTAACACATAAGGGAAACTTATGTCTTTTCCACTATAATAAATGGTAAGACTGCATCTTGTCCAAGGCAGAGTACTGCATACTGTAGAGTCACATAATCACACGGGAGGAGATTGCCCATCCTTCTTCCATGGAGCAGCTGCTGACCTCAAACCATGTGCCTTAGGGATTGCAGTGCAGCTTCTAGCCACTAGGCCAACAGCATACTCATGAGACCTGGAAAAAACAAGATAGTCCCACAGAATTCTGCATCTACCAGGTTTCCCATCCAAGCATACCTGGAAAATACTGTGAATAAGGTTGCAGACCTCTGCAGTAAAGCTAATATTATAATAAAGTAAATCACACATTTATTTTGTTCTTAGGGAGCTCTGGTGGCCTAGTTGTAAGAAATTGCACTGCAATCCCAAGGGCATGGAATTCAAATCCACCAGCTGCTCTTCAGGGAAAGGATGAACAATCTACTCCCATGATTTATAGCCTCTGAAAACATGCTAGAGGGTCAGCTATGAGTCAGTAATTACTTAATGGTACTTAACAATAGTACATACAAAACTTGTTGTTTTGTGCCATTGAGTTGAGTGTGACTCATAGAAACCCTATAAACTGCTTGCCCTGTCCTTAGCTATCCTCACTGTCTCTGATATTCTAAGACCACTGTTAAAGTCACTGTGTCAACCCACCTCCTTATAGGTTTACCTATCTTTCACTGACCCTCCAGTTTTGCGAGCATGATGTTCTTTTCCAATGACTGGACCCTCCTAATTATACGCTCAGAGGAAGTGAGATGAAGCTTTGTCATTGTCACCTCTCAGAAACCCCCTGGTTTCACTTTGTCCAAGATACATTTGTTTGTTCTTTTGGCAGTTAATGGGATATTCTATACTCTTCTTCAACACCACAACTCAAACGTATCACTGCTGCTTCTGTCATCCTTAGTCATTGTCCAATTTAGGCTTATAGTGTAATGTATTAAGTAAGCAGTAGCATTATGGCAAAGTTTGAAATACTGTGAGAGTTTAAAATTGCAGCAGCGACAAGAGAGTGGGCACATACTATTGGGGAAAAGAGCACCAGTAGATATGCTCAATAAAGGGTCGCCACAAACCTTCAATTTGTTAAAAGTGTAGGAAAGTGAAGTACAAGAAAGCAAGCTGGGCCTGTATATGCCTTTCACCTCAAATTCATCTGAAATTCCTGTCTTCTAAAATAAATGGCAATACGAACACCTCATTGTCTTTAGGTAAAACAAGCCAAGTACAACCCAGCACTCCAGTTGGGTTTTAAGTATGAAATGGTGCAATATTGAAGAAACAAGATAGAATCCATTTTAAGTATCTACTTCATTAACAAATGGGAACTCTTGGGAACTAATGAGTGTTATAAAAGGAAATAATTGTAGAAGTTGAAATAATTTCCAACTTATTTTGCAAGTAATTTACTTGGCTTAATCCTATTAAAAGTAGAAAAGGGAAGCATTTTAAGTTTCCAACTATTGTTTCATATGTATAATCTAAAACAATAAAGATGCAAACATAAAATTCCTCTGTCTGAAAAAAAAAAGTACACCCCAAACCAAACAGCATAAAGAGCTCTCAACTGACTACAGATAAGCTTAGTGTGATGGGTAAATACTAGGACTTTGTTATAGCACCAAAGTAGTATTATTTCGTATGCATCTACATTTGCAGAGTGCATGGTAAAATATATGTTAACGTGTACACAAATACACTACATGAGGAGGACATAACTGATGGCTTGTGAACTGTTCTACAACAGTTGAGAATAAAGAACAGAATGGGGTAAGGAGAGGCGGGAGGGAGATAGGGAACAGGTATACTGGGAACCTACAGCTTCTTGGTCTGCATTCTGCTTTGTTTTTCACTACTTTCTTTGGTAAAATATGTTCACCATGTCAAGTACTCTTCTTGGGTTTATAGTAAGGAAAAAATATCAGAAATGAGCTTATCTTGCTTTAATGCTATCAAACATTATATATTAAGTGTGTGTGTGTGTGTGTGTGTGTGTGTGTATGTGATGTTTTATTTTTTCTTACTATACATACATTTGTTGATTTTGTTGCTATATTGGTACATACACATATCTATTATATAACAACATATACGTATCAACTATCATTTAAACATAAAGGCATTCTGGTGGTTTAGTAATAAAGAGTTGTGCTGCCAACCCAAAAGCAGGTGGTTTAAATTCACCAGTTGATCCTAGGAAGAAAGACAGGCAATCCCCTCCTATGCAGTTTATGTCTCTAAAAACCCACTGGAAGGTAAGCCAGGAGTTAGTTGCACCTCAATGGCATATAATAACAAAAATAAAATACATTTAAGCATATTTGTAAATCCATAACTCTATATGCATATTGTCTATTGATTTATATAGGACATCACACTGGAAAAGGTAGAGGGGCAGAGATGGAGAGGAAGACCCACAAGATGGATTAATATGGTGCCTGTTCAATGGGTTTGAGCATATTTGAGATCGTGGGTATAGTACAGAATAGGGCAAGGTTCAGCTCTTTTGTTCATAGGGTTGCTATGAGTTGTAGGTGACTTTTTGGATCCTAACAATAATAGCAACAACAAAAATAACTATATATCATCTGTCTGCAGATACAGATGATAGGTAGATAGATAGATAGATAGATAGATAGATAGATAGATAGATAGATAGATAGAGAGTGATAGATGTACTAACAAAGTCCCAGATAATATTCACAAACAAAATAAGAAAAATAATTTTTCTGAAAATTAAGAAAATTAAGATTTCATTTTTAAATGTTGTTTGTTGTTGTTTGTTGTTATGTACTGGTAAATCACGTGTGACTCATAGCAGCCCTCTGTACAACAGCCCTAAACCCTGCTCTATCCCTTGCCAGTACTATTGTCTGTGACACATCTATTCCCCATTACCTCAGTGACTGAATCAATCCATCTCATCGAGGGTCTTCCTCTCCTCCACCCTCCCAAGCATGATGTCCTTCTCCAAGGACTGATCCCACTTTGCAACATGTCCAAATTATGTCAGATGGAGTGTCAGAATCCTTGCCTCTAAGGAGCAGCCTGGCATGACCCTCTCCAGGATGAACTTGTTTGTTCTCCTAGCAGTCCATGGTATATTCAGTACTCTTCCCCAGCACCATAGCCTAAAGGCATCAACTCTCCTTCTATCATCCCTACTCATTGTCCAGCTCTCTGATGCATAGACCATGGCTTGTATTAGGTGCACATTAGTCTCCAGACTGACAATGTTGTTCTTCAGTGCTTTAGAGAGGTCTCTGACAGCAGACTTTGCCAATGCAATTAATCTTTTAATTTACTGGCTGCTGGCACCAAGAGTGTTGATTGTAGAGCCAAGTAAACTGAAGCTGTCAACAATCTCAATGTCTTCACCATCTATCATGATGCTGCCAATTGGCCCAGTGGTGAGAATCTTTGTTTTCTTGATGCTGAGCTTCAATCCACATTGAAGGCTACAGTCCTTGACCTGCTGCAGCAAGTGCTTCAGGCAAGCAGGTTTGTATCATCTGCATAATGCAGATTGTTGATGAATATATCTCCAATCCTGATGCCACACTTCTCCTCAAAGAGCCCAGACTCCCAGATAATTTGTTCTGCATATAGATTGAAAAGATAGGGAGATACAACACATCTTTGACGCACACCCTTCCCAATTTTGAACCATGCAGTGTTTCCTTGCTCTGTTCTGATGACTGCCAATCCAAGTATATGTTTCACATAAGCACAATCAAGTGTTCTGGGATTACCATTTGTCTCAGAGTCAGACACAGTTTGTTGAGATCCTCCCAGTCTAATGTTTTTGCATTTGAAACACAGATAGATATTCCTCTGGTACTCTCTGCTTTCATCCAAGATTTATGTGACATTAGCTATAATATCCCTAGTGCCACAGCCTCTTCTAAATCCAGCCTTCGATTCAGGCAGTTCTCTGTTGATGTGCTTGCTGTTCCAGTTGTTTTTGGATAATCTTCAGCAGAATCTTGCTTGCGTGTGATATCAATGATACTGTTCAATAATTTCCACACTCTGTCAGATCACCTTTCTTTAGAATGGGAACAAATATAGATCTCTTCCAGTCAGCTCACCCTGTGGTTGTCCTCCAGATTTCCTGGCACAACTTGGTAAGCACATCCAGGGCAGCATCTGTTCTTTGAAATATGTCAGTTGGTATGCCATCAATTTCTGGGGCCTTGTTTTTTGCTAATTCTTTCAGAGCAGCTTGAACATCTTCCTTCATCACCATAGGCTTTTGCTCATATGTTGTTTCATTCATTTTTCTGTGTCCATCAATTCCTTTTGGTACAATGACTCAGTATACTTAATGTCTTCAAAATCAAAAGAAGATAGGTTCTTGTAATAATAACTGAACACTTATTTTGTTGAAATTCTACTTCATTCCCCTGTAAGATTATGAGACAAATGTTATCTCTATCTCATTTAGGGATAAGGAATCCAAGACTGAAATGTAGTCAGAGATTTGTCCAAGGACCCAGAGCTGCATATTGGACCCTTAGTAACTTGACTACAAGTCTGTCTGACACATGAGCCCGTGTTTTTAGTCACTGCTCTGCTAATTGATGACTTGACTTTCTCCCTTCTCTGTAAGAGACTTGTTTGAGAGCAAAAATTCAGAATCCTGAGATTTCTAATGTTGGTTTTCAAGTGTCCTGGAATTTAGGAATGTCTGAGGCATATGGCACAACATCTTACTATGAGTAGCTTATCTAGCTGATCCTCCTGAACTGTGAAGAGTTACGTAGCAATGTGGCCAGACCAAAAGACTGACTTAGACAAGACTGAAACAAGAGTAATACTGGCAGCTT